GGTTTATTTGAAAGTTTCTCCAATGAAAGGTGTGGTTCGTTTTGGTAAGAAGGGGAAATTAAGTCCTAGGTATGTCGGTCCTTATGAGATAATAAGAAGGGTTGGTAAAGTAGCCTATGAGTTGAGGTTGCCCAAGGAGATGGAATTAGTTCATCCGGTATTCCATGTATCGATGTTGAGGAAATGTGTTGGTGATCCTAACGCTATTGTACCTCTTGAGGTTGTGGGTGTTGTAGAAGATAATTTGACGTATGAAGAAGTCCCGGTTCAGATTTTAGATAGACAAGTTAAAAGGTTGAGGAACAAAGAAGTGGCGTCCGTTAAGGTGCTTTGGAGAAATCAACAAGTGGAGAGTGCTACTTGGGAGGCCGAAGCGGACATGCAAAGACGTTATCCTTATCTATTCAACTCCACTCAAGCCTAAGGTATTAAATCAAGTCCTTTGTACTCCATTGAGTCTTACATTTCAGCCCCTGAATCATTAATGTGCATATATGTTTAAATTGATGAGTTATGGATACTTTACACTAAGTTTTGAAATCTTGAAATGATGTTTAAATAAAATTTTTGCATTCATGTTGGGGCTGATATGTTCTTACTAAGTCTTGCCTTGTACGTCTCTTCCACATTCGGGGACGAATTTTTCCAAGGGGGAGATATTGAAATGACCCAAAAAGTTCTTTAAAATGTGCTTCGGAAGTTACCGGAAACTTGTTTAGCTATATATTAAAACAAAAAAAAATATGTTTCATTTTTCGAAAATCCGACTTCATGTTCTTTTTTAGGGGGTCAAATTGAGTGGGAAATGGGTCTAACCCAAATTTTAGAGCAACCGTATCAGAGTCCGAAATTTCCAAGTGAAGCCTTTTTCGAGGGTCTACTTTGGAGGGTCATATCTCCTAGCACACAAATTATTGGGTGGCCAATAAAATATCCATGGGAAGCCCTTTCAGTTAGCTACCTAACGCACTTCATTTCACCTCATTCGGAGTTCGGACGAAGAAGTTATGCCCATTTTCGTAAAATCTGTCAGGCAGGAAAGGCAATTTCCAGTGAGCGTTTTTACTGTTTACCCGCCTCATTTTTTTTTCTAAATGTTGGACCATTTTTCCAAAGAGCATATGTTATTTCCTATATACCATTAGTTCAATTCCCATCTCTAAAACATTTCCCAAAACACCTCTCCCATACTTAGACACATTTTCTCTCAAGTTCTCTCAAGAACCCTAATCCAAAACCTTCCTCAAGATTGAAGAGACTCTTATTCCAAGTTCCAAGCTTCCATTGAAGACACTCTCAAGACCTTCATAAAAACTCAAGGTATGTGGTGTTGAACTCATGGGTTCTTCCACCCATAGTGCCTAGACTCTATTTTACTCACTAATTCATTGTTTAAGTTAAGATTCATAAATTAGTCTTGTTCTTTGTAATAATTTCCTGCACATTGAATTTTAAACATGAAAAGTGATTGTTTTGAGCATGTTGTGACTCTAGAACTTGAACCTAAATTTGGAATGGATGTGGAGATTTTCATGTGGTATTGTGGGTGTTAAAAAGGTGTTGTTGTAGGTTGTTCACTGGTTTGGCTGTATAATTACTACCCTATTTTCCATGCTTTTTGATTCCATTACATGCCTTCAAGGTGTTTGACAAAATGTCCAACTATGGAGAATTGATGAATCGATGCTTTAAAGCTTGAGTTATGAGATGTATGGAAATCCAGAGATGTGTTGATGACAACCTAAGCTTGTGTATATGTTCATTCCATACGTGAGATTGCATTAGAGCCTAATGGGAATTTCCTATATAAAGTGTTGCATGACCATGCCCGGTCCGGGGGAAAAGAACCGGACAACCATGTGAGAGGTTTATATCTCACCACCTAGAATGCTTGGGGTGTGACCAACATCAACCATGTGAGAGGTTTATATCTCACCACCTAGGTTGCTTGGGGTGTGACCAACATCAACCATGTGAGAGGTTTATATCTCACCATCTCGGATGCTTGGGGTGTGACCAACATCAACCATGTGAGGGGTTTATACCTTGCCACCAGGGTGTCCGGGTGTGAACGGCATCCCCCATCCTAAGTTGGGGTTATAGATTGGTTGGATCATGCATACACATATGATATCTACTATTATTATAGATTTACTTAAACATGTTTTGACTTAACTTTGATCATGCATCCTCATATTGTTATTCATAATGCCTATGAAACTATTTCTTGTATTTCGATTGTGTCCTTGTCTTTTGTTGTGTTGCACCCCGCATACTTAGTACATTCCAAGTATTTTTCCTACATGATGTCACCATGTAGGGACCGAAGCTACTCTTGATCCTTCTCTCCATTCACGTGGCTAGTACGGTGCTTATCTGAGTTGTTTGTGAGTCCTCAATGATTCGAGGGCTATGTTATGTTTCCTACTCCTATGTTTTGAGACTTTAGCTTGCAATTGTATTTTGGTTATGAGGGGAGCCGGTAGTATGTCATGGCCCCGTCCTATCTATGTATGTAGAGGTGTGCGTTGGACAAGTATTTTGTAAATGAGTTTGACTCTTGTTCTATGATGTCATTTGAAATGGTTTGCCCTTAGTCCCTATTTCCCGTTAATTAATGTTGAATGTACTTCCACGACCGATGAAGTGTGATGACAAGTTTGAGAGGCTTGTTTGGGGTTCCTTCGGGTTCCTCATTCGCCATGTTACGTCTAGGCCCTAGGCTTGGGTCGTGACATATGTCACTCATGTTAGTGTCATCCATGTTGCCCATGTTATCATCTTCCCCTTCTTGAAAATGATTCGTCCTCGAATCCAAAGGATCACCTACAACACAATGACATAAATCACTAACATTGAAAACATTATGAACATTATACTCAGTTGGTAGGTCAATCATGTAAGAATTGTCATTGATTCTCTTGAGTACTTTGAAGGGTCCATCCCCTCTTGGGCTTAGCTTCCCTTTCCGTACTTGTGGAAACCTCTCCTTTCAGAAATGCACCCACACCCAATCATCTGGATTGATGATCACTTCCTTTCTCCCTCGATTCTTTCGAATGGCCACCTTTGAATTATTCTTTTCAATGGCCTCTTTGACCTTGGCATGAATGTTCATCATCGCCTTTGCCCTTTTCTTGGCATCTAGGCTCACAACAACATCGCTAGACAAAGGAATCATGGTTAATGGAAACAAAGGTTTAAAACCATAACATGCCTCAAATGGAGACATTCCAATAGAGGAGTGGAAAGACCGATTATATGCAAATTCACTCAAGGTAAACGGTCTTCCCAAGTAGTTGGGGATCCTCTAATCATGCATCGAAGCATGCTTCCAAGAGTCCGGTTGACTACTTCGGTTTGTCCATCCGTTTGAGGATGGCAAGAAGTAGAGAACATAAGTTTGGTACCAAGTGTACCCCATAGACTCTTCCAAAAATGACTAAGAAACTTGGAATCCCTATCACTAACAATGGTTTGAGGGACTCCATGCAATTTAAGCACATTGATAACAAACAAAGATGCTACATGGGATGCATCATCACATTTATGGCATGGAATAAAATGAGCCATTTTAGAAAATCTATCCACTACCACAAATATACTATCATGTCCTCTTTTACTCCTAGGAAGTCCCAACAAAAAGTCCATAGAAATATCCATCCACGGACCATTTGGAGTAGGAAGAGGAGTATACTTACCTTGGGGCCTAGTCGTGGATTTGGCTTGCTTGCATTCTAGACATTGTCCACAAATCCTCTCCACATCATGCTTCATCTTGGGCCAAAAGAACTGCTCCTTAAGAATATCAAGTGTTTTTGGTACCCCAAAGTGTCCCATCAAACCACCACTATGAGCCTCCTTGACAAATAACTCTCTCCATGATCTCATGGGCACACATGCTCGGCCATCTTTGAACAAGAAACCATCAACCAATTGGTACCTATCAACTCGCTTCCCTTGACTAAGATTATCAAAGGTATCTTTGAAGTCGGAATCCATAGAATAGAATCCCTTTAAGCTTTCAAACCCCATCATTCTAGAAACCAAGGTATTGACCAATACAAACCTTCGTGATAGAGCATCCGCTACCACATTCTCCTTGCCTTGCTTGTAGTTGATCACATATGTAAAGGTTTCAATGAATTCAACCCACTTAGCATGTCGCTGGTTCAACTTGGATTACCCCTTGAGATGCTTCAAGGACTCATGATCGGTCCTTATCACGAACTCTTTGTACCACAAGTAGTGTTGCCAATGAGCCAACACTCGCACAAGTGCATACAATTCCTTGTCATAAGTTGAGTACTTGAGTGTAGCTCCCTTTAACTTTTCACTAAAGAAAGCTAATGGTTTTCCTTCTTGCATCAACACACCACCTATACCAACACTTGAAGCATCACATTCAATTTCAAAGGCCTTGTCAAAGTTGGGTAGTTGGAGCAAGGGTGCAGAACTCAACATCAATTTCAAGGCTTGAAAAGACTTCTCCTGATCCTCACCCTATACGAAAGGTACATCTTTCTTGATCAGTTCGGTCAAAGGAGCAGCAATTGAACTAAAGCCCTTCACAAATCGCCGATAAAAACTTGCTAACCCATGAAAACTTCTTACCTCAGTTGCACTGGTTGGGGTAGGCCAAGTCTTGATGGACTCCACTTTCTCGTCATCAACCTCAATCCCATTTGCACTAACCACAAAACCCAAAAACACAACTTTATCAACACAAAATGAGCATTTCTTGAAATTAGCAAAGAGGCGCTCTCGTAGTAGGACATCAAACACTTGTTTCAAATGGGATACATGTTCCTCCATTGTCTTACTATACACAAGTATGTCATCAAAATACACCACAACAAACTTGTTGATGAAAGGTTTGGGAACATGGTTCATCAATCTCATGAAAGTGCTTGGGGTATTCGTCAATCCAAATGGCATCACAAGCCATTCATACAGCCCAAACTTTGTCTTGAAGGCCGTCTTCCACTCATCACCCGGTTTCATACACATTCTGCAAGTGCCATCCTTTTTGGGAACAAGAATTACTGGTATGGCACAAGGACTTAAGCTTTCTTTGATCAACCCCTTCTCAAGAAGCTCTTCCACTTGCCTTGATAGCTCTTTGGTTTCTGCCGGGTTACTCCTATAAGCTGGACGATTGGGGATTTGTGAACCCGATATAAAATCTATTTGGTGCTCGATTCCCCTCAAGGGTGGTAATCCAGCGGGAATCTCATCTGGAAATAGCTCATCATAGCCCTGCAAAAGAGAAGAAATAATACTTGGCAAAGTGCTAGTATCTTGGTTAGCATGTAATAAAAGGTTGGTGTTGACAAGGCACATTCGAAAGCATTCCTCATCCACACCTTTTAAACACTTGCTTGGCTTTGCTATCATGCACATGTTCTTATTATTTTTAACCAAGGCACTCCCCTCCTTTGGAACGATGGTGGAACTTTCACCTTCACCTTTTGTCGCCTCGTCTTTTATTCTCTCCTGAAGCTCCTTCATAGCCCGATAGTCCTCACTCACTTGATATGGAGTGAGAGATGCAAGCACATACTTTTTACCTTCAATCACAAAAGTGTATTTGTTGGATCTCCCTTGGTGCACAACATTTCTATCAAATTGCCAAGGTCTCCCCAACAGTAGGTGACATGCCAACATGGGAACCACATCACAAACTAATTCTTCAATGTACTTTCCCACACTAAACAAAATACTTGCTTGTTTGAGGACCTTCATCTCTCCACTCTCATTGAGTCATTGTAGCTTATAAGGATTGGGATGCTTGCTGGTTTGTATTGTCATACGCTCCACCAAGGAACTACTCACCACATTGGTGCAACTTTCACTATCAATGATTAAAGAACACACTTTATCTTGGATTTTTCACCTAGCATGAAATAGATTCTCCCTTTGGTCAAGTTCCTCTTTTGCACGGGCTCCCATAAATCTTCTTACAACACATGAAAGATTGACATTCATGTTCAAGTCTTCATCATCATCAAGCAAAGACTTTCCCTTCTCCATGAAGCAAGCAAAATTCACTCTCTCATCCAACCTTTCTTTTTCATCCCCTGAAGCACCTTCCTCTCCTTCACCCCTGTCTCCCTCTCCCTCATTTTTTTCTTCACCCTCATCTTCATCTTCAGTGTTATATCCATCACGAAGAGCAACAATTGTTCTCCTATTTAAACACTTAGTAGCATCATGTCCCCTCCCTTGACATCTAAAGCATTGAATTGTAGAAGGTCGAGGAAAGTTAGGTTTAACATAGTTACCTCCTTTAGGTTGCTCCCTAGAGGATGTCGTCTTCCAATTATCTCTACCTTTGCTCCATGTAGAAGTTAAAGAACTTTTGGCCTTGTATGATTTTTCTTCTTTCAAATCTGCTTCTACCTTTGAGGCATCATGGAAAGCCGCTTCAAGAGTCTCATAGTGCTTAAGCTTTAAGGTCTTCAAGATATCACACCTCAAGTTTGCCACGAATCGTATTACCGTACACTCCATATTCTCTTCAATTTTAGACTTCATCCGCAAGTTCTCAAACTCATCATAACATTCTTCCACACTTTTGGTACCTTGCCTCAACATGTACACATTCTTGAGCACCTCTTGGTAGTAGTTTGGACTCAAGTATCTCAACTCCATAAGTGCAATCAACTCTTGCCAAGTAGGTAGCTCGTAGTCATGATGACTCTCCCTTTCCCTCCTCTTGGACTCCCACCAAGTTGATGCGTACCCCTTAAATTGCATGAGAGCATACTTCGCCTTCAAAGTTTCTGAGATATTATTTGTGAGAAAAATTCGCTCACTTTGAATTTTCCATTCCAAGAACTCATCGGGGTCACTACTTCCTTTGAACCTTGGAAGTGTGACCTTGATAGTGTTCAAGCCCCTATCTTGATGATCATTCCTCTCCCTAAACCTATTTCCTCTATTTACCATCCTATCGCCTCTATATCCCATCATATCTCATCCTATCTCCTCTATTTCCATATTCTTGATCTCCAATGCCTTGGTCCCACCCCAATTCCCGAGGTCGTACTCCTCCTCTTTGTAGTCCATTTCCATCCCTACCCCCATGCTCCCAAATTTCATCATTATTGAACTCCTCATGAATTTCATCATAGAGAGGATTTTGGTATTGGTAGTCTTGGTAGGGCATTTGTGGTGCATTTTGTGGATGTGATGTGTAGGGTTCATGAAAAGATGCATTTGAAGCATTTCGAAATGGTGTTTGGTATTGGACTTGGTTTGCCACAAAAGGAAGATTTTCTTGTGGCGGGTGATAGGGTTGTGGACTTGGATGTGGCGTAGGCTGTCTTAGGTGGTTTGGAGGGTTGGGAGTTTGGAAAGTAGGGCGTTGGTAGTTTCGGGTTTGGCTTTGTGGAGGAGAACATAGATTATGAGCTTGTCCCGAAACAAGGGTAGTGGAATGCACCGATGCCCTCCTTATCTCATCATATTCGGGTTGAATTGCTTTCCTTCTATACTCATTTTCCACCCGTACCAACATTTCCTCCATACCTCCCATTCTTCCATTCATTTCCGCTACTTGCTTAGAGATGTTGGTGAGAACCTCCATGATGTTCTCCAAACCCTCCCCAATTGGACTTGTATTAGACATGATACTTACAAAACTCAACAAACGAGGTTAGTAGAAAAGCCTCACGTCACTCGTATTTAACTCTCAACTCACCTTCTATGGCGTCGTCTCAAAATTGATAGTGAACTACCTTCGTTCAATCAACTCAAGATCACCTATCCTTTGTGATGGAGTGGATTCTTCTGACTCTTGAAAGAAGGACGGCCCAAAAAAAACTAATGGACTTGAATCAAGAAGGTTATCAACGAATTAAGATGAGAAAAGTAGAATATAGAAGCACCAAAAGATTCGGACTCAAAATAAACCAAGTAACAAAAGCAGAAGAATTACTTCTTGTTACTTAATTTGAAGGATCAAATAAATGATTTGATGATTAAAACTAGTTAACAAGTAATCAAAGATGTTAATTAATTGTAAAATAGTTGAAAATTGGAAGAAAAATGAGTTTAGTAGAAAAAGAAGTGAATTTGGACACTTAGGAAAAAAATTATGCCTCAAAGAAGTCCATCACTTGTAAGACTTTGATTGGATGATTTGATGATTAAAACTAGTTGACAAGTAATTAAAGATGTTAATTAATTGTTAAATAGATGAGGAATTGAAGGGAAAAATGGTAGAAAAAGAATCACGAATTTGGACACTTAGAAAAATTTCTAGGTCCAAAAAACTTCCATACTTAGAATATTTTTGGGGTCTTTAGAAAAACCTGCAGGTTTTGGTCTCTGAAACTGACGCACACGCGCGTTAGGTTCGACTGGGCGTTGCTGGCAGGTTGCCTGCTGTGCTGGCTGCTGATGTGTCAGTCCATGTGGAATTTTTTTATTATTTTTTTATTTTTTTGTTTTTTTTTTCAGATTTTGATTTTTTTATTATTTTTTTTCAAAATTCCACTAATGGACCCCAAAAAAACACCTTTGACTTGAAAAGTTGGATCATATGTACTTTCTTCTTTCTTCTTCTTCAAGAACAACTTGAAGACACCAAGAACACACACTAGACCCCAATACACTCAAATCAACTCAAAATTGGGTCAAAATTTAGGATTTTCTTCCCTTCAACTAAGAGAACAAAGCCCACTAATTATTAACCTCCAATTTCTCCTCAATCAAAAGACCCACTTTCAAAATTTGAAAAGTTTGAAAAGCTTGAAACCCTTCCATGGTAACTTCACTTCTACAACTCCAAATTGAACAAAATTTGAAACCTAGACTCAAAAAACACTAGGAAACAAGGATCTAGTATCAAAAACAACAAATCAAAACCAAAAAAAAATAAAAAAAAATTGATAATTTTTTTGGATTCTTTTTAAACCAAGACTAGATTTGTAAGAACAAATCTAAACCTAGGCTCTTGATACCAAATGATAACGATCAAGAAAGGAAAAGAATAAAGAAAAAAATGATATGTGGATTAATACTCAAGTTATTGAAATTATGGGCAACAAGGGACTAAAACCCTCACCTCCCAATTGACTTCAACAACCTAAATTCAACCCAAGGAAGAATAATCAAATGAAACCAAGAATCACAAAGGGGTAACACTTTGATTAATCAAACACAAGAAGTTAACAAGCAATCCCAAGAGTTCACCCTAATTACTCACTAATTACTCAGTAAGAAGATACTATAATTTGAGAGTCAATATTCAATAAAGTCTAAGTCTTTCCAAAATAAAAGAGACTACTATTTATACTAAAAAAATAAACAAGACACTTTTTGACAATTTTACCCTTAATGAGATAAGGGCCTTGTTTGGTTGCTTTCTTTTGTGAATTCTTGAATTCATGAAATGGTCATTTGCACACATGGCCTCTTTCCTTCTTCCTTCTCATTTTGATGTACCTTACACACATTGTATGTCCTTATTTGGTGACCTTCAAGCCCCTCTAATGCTTCCATTTTCATGAACATTGCTTGTAGGCCTTGGAGATCCTTTGCTTGTCTCCGTGTGAATGGTCTTGAGGGGTATATGTCACTCATGTTAGTGTCATCCAAGCTGCCCATGTTATCAATATCCCCCAAAACCTTGCCACAGCCATCATTGATGGAAGACCACTACGGTCCATCAACCCATCCACGGTCTGTGGATAGGGGTCTCGTGAATGAGACCTAGTTTGCAATCAAGTGACACAGCCAATTGAGGGTGAATCGGTAAATTCACACCAAGTCTTTTAAAGTGTATGGATGGTTATTTTGGGTTTATTTAGATATTTTAAGAGTATTAAAACTTAATTAGACCTCATTATTTCAAGTCTTCAAAATCAAAACCCTTCTCTCCTAAAAAGTTCTTTCTAGAAACTCCATTGGAGATCAAGGTCAAGATCAAGCTAGGGTTGAGGATTTCAAGGTATTTCTTCTTCAATTTTGTGGGATTCTTCAATTATACGGTATGGTGATCCTTTATCTAGGGATAGCTTTCACCCTAGAGTCCATTTCAAAGAAGTTTTCAAAGTTTTCAAGTTTCTCAAAACCCTAAGTTTTACTCAATCTCATGGGTTCCTTCATCAAACATTTTCAAATGACAAAGAATGATTATATTGAAGCTTAATTGTTGATTTAAGATGATTCTACTATTTGAACTCATGATTTCTCTCAACTTCCAAAATTTGGCATTCTTAATTGGGTTTGATGATTATGAATGAATGATTGATGATTTATGCCTAAAGTGAATTAGATTATTAAATTGTAGCATAATCTATGCCTAATTGTGATGAATGGTTGGTCAATTGAGTAATTGTGATCATAACCTTGAAAGGGCAAGTTTGACCTAATTACTTGTTATAGTAGAATTGTATTAACACTTGTGAATGATGGTGATTATGTGAAAGGCTATTCTCACATACACACACACACTTGAATGAAGGTCAATGATAATATTAATGATGAAGTACTTATTGAATGGCTACTCTCAATTGTACTCTAATGAATGATAATGATGTGTTGATTGAAAGGATATTCTCAATTTTACACTAACGAATGATAATGGGATTCTTAGTTGAAAGGCTTTTCTCATCTTTGAATCTATCATCTATTCAATGAATGTTGGGATGGGATGGATGCTCATCCGGGAGTTGAGGAGGAGTATCTAGTAGCAATCCCTTGGGGATGGATGCTCATCAGGGAGTTGAAGTGGA